GCAACACCTTTTATTTTCCACTTTCTTTGCACACGACTCAGGCATTTGTGACGGTCGCGGCTGGAAGGCCGAGTTCTTGGAAGACGTGGCCCAAAATGACTCATCGTTTCTGCTAATGATTCAACTCTAGATTCGATAGTTGGGCTTTTGGACTCTCGTGTGGGTTTTACATCTGTTTATTTTCCATCTGATTCTTGAACAACCTGTCATCTACCTGCACTACCATCGTTCCATCCCCCTAGACTGGTGTTGGCGTCTTTTATCGGGAGAAGATGGCTCCAAAATGGCGAAAATGAGGAACCTAGAGAGAGAAACAGAAGCTAACTGAAGGGGGAAACGTTTGAATAAATACAAGCTACTTACTTCTGAAGAGCTGAACAAGACCCCGGTCTCCAGCAGAGAGAAGAGAAAGTTGTGCGTGTTCACGCCGGAGATGTTTCCAAGTTGGGAATCGGAGATTTCTCCTAGTGCCACGTCCGCAGTCTCTACTGCGCCTGTACGGGGCAGCAACGCTCTTTTGCGCTGTCCGTTGACTGCGCACGCACCGCGACGCCTCCTGGAGGCATTCTTAGTGGAGTTCTGAAGAGCAAGAAGTCAGTCTTCAGAGACAAACCACCCATGCTAACCAGCTACAGCTCTGGTGAATGGCAGGAAGGGAGCCTTCCGTCATGTTACCGCCAGGATGTGAGGGGGCGGAGGGAGTTCAAAAAGGGCTAAACACGTGTGAAGCGATAGACCATAGGCCCCATTTTGGCCATGACCGTCCCGTTTTTTAAGCCCCGTCCCGACTTTTTTGGCAAAACTGGGCCTTTGTCCGGTTGACTCTTCCCAACTTGATTGTCACTAAAAAGGCCTTGTTTTAAGAACATAACATAAGAGCGGCCACACTGGGTCAGACCAAAGGTCTATCCAGTCCGGTATTCTGTCTGCCCACAATGGCCAATGCCAGGTGCCCCAGAGGGAGTAAACCAAACAGGTATGATCAAGCCATCTCTGTCCTGCTACTTCACCTCCAGCCTCTGACAAACAGAGGTTAGGGACACCGTTCCTTACCCATCCTGGCTCCTAGCCATTAATTGACTTAAATTCATGGAGGTTATCTAGTTCTTTTTTGAACCCGGTTCAAGTCCTGGCCTTCACCACATCCTCTGGCAAGGAGTTCCACAGGTTGGCTGTGCGCAATGTGAAGAAGAACTTCCTTTTGTTTGTTTTAAACCTGCTGTCCGTTAATTTCATTTGGTGAGCCCTCATTCTTATATTGCCCCCCCCAAAAAGGGGGGGTGCTGGCCGTAGTGGGGCATGGAGGAACATGTGGGAGGGAAGAAGATGAAGGGTAAAGGCAGCCTTGTGTGGGAGGGAGGGTGTGGGACAGTTGTTTGGCCTGCATGGGCAGGTGGCAGAGGGTTCTTGGGCCAGCTCCCTCTGCAGCGGGAAGAGGATCTGGCTGCGCGGCAGTGGGAGGTTGTCACCCTCACATGGTGGGGAGAAACAGGGACTTTGAGCCTGAAAGCAGGAGGTAGGGTGAGCTTGCACGGGGGGGGGGGATGTTCCCTTGGGAAAAGACGGTCACCCTACTGGAGGAAGTCGGAGTTTGTAAGGCGTTATCGGCAAGGGGCCGTCAGACCTGGGGAAAGCGCGATCAAATCGCAGCATGCAGTCCCCTCTCGCTTCAAGGAGAAATTGTCCCTGCCCGTCTGTTCCCCAGGGTGATACCCCCAGACCCACCTTCTCCTGTAAAATGTGCAACACCGCTCCAGTCTGATTTCACCCTGCGCCGGCTTTCTGCTGCTGGGTCGTGGGGTGGAGAGATGGCTTCCGGATCTCGCCTCTTACCCTTCGCTTTCCGCTCACTCGGGCCTGTCTGAACCATCCCCGGGTCCTTGCTAATGCGAGTGAGGAGCTCCGCTTGTGTCGATTTGCTAGACGCGTGGCCCTGTGTTGCTTGGGTCCTCAACGTGACTTATGTTTGGGTTTTTTTGTAAATAAAATGAAAATGTCTGTGCATCATGGGAATCCCTGCTCTGGGGAGACCGGATTTATCTAGCTCTTTTTTTTTCCTAAGCCTGTTCAAGTCCCGGTGTTTACCACATCCTCTGGCGAGGAGTTCCACAGGTTAACTTACCACTGCAGCCTGGGGCCAGGTAGGAAGCACCTCTCCAGGGCCGCTGCAACTCCAGTGGGCACCGAGGAGGGATGCATGACCCCCAGCTGGGGCAGATCCAGGTTCATCCACCCTCTGAGGTCCCCAACCAGAGCGAGGGCACTTGGGACAGGGGGAGGCTTGGGGCTGAGGCAGTCCTGGGGTGGGGAGGCACCCTCAGCCAACCCCTTGCACCTGCCTGGTGATTGTCTGGTTTTCTGAGACACCATCCCATTCCAGGCACGTCCAACTGTTCTGGTGCAAGCAAACCCTGACCTTGCTTTTAAGATAGGGGAAGAGGATGCTACCTGCTGAATTTGGTGCTCCTAGCTCTGACTGCTTAGGAGAAGCTCTTGAACAAACAGAGACAGACAAACTTTCTCAAATATATAGTCGATTTGATTTAATTTAATTCAATTTTTGCATTGGTTTACCTGTCCTGCGACTCCGAGCTGGCCACGGGTTTTTTGTTTTTGTTTTTTGCATCCAGACCTGGCATAGTTTTCTGTTCACAAAAGCAACTTGCCCCGGGCACCTGCATTTTGCACCTACACTTGAACGGCAGGCGTGTGTTTGTGCTGTTTGATGTGGTCTGGAAACAGCAGCAGAAACCAGTGCAGCCCTTCAGCTTGTTTTTTCTGCACAGCTAGCTTGTTTTCATGCTTGAAAAAAATAAGTTTTTGGTGGGGGTGGTAATATTTTCATTCTCTGAAGTGTTTCTCTAGGACTTGGCCTCTCTGTACACCCAGACTGAGGGACATTAATTCTGTCTCTAAGGGTACGTCTAAACTACATGCCTCCATCGACCGAGGCATGTAGATTAGACAGATCGGCAGAGGGAAATGAAGCCGTGATTAAAATAATTGCGGCTTCATTTAAATTTAAATGGCTGCCCCGCTCTGCCGATCATCGGGGCAGTCTGGATGCGCCGCGTCGACAAAGAAACCTTTCTTGATCGGCACAGGTAAACTTGATCGGCAGAGCGGGGCAGCCATTTAAATTTAAATGAAGCCGCGATTATTTTAATCGCGGCTTCATTTCCCTCTGCCGATCTGTCTAATCTACATGCCTCCGTCGACGGAGGCATGTAGTCTAGACACACCCTAAGGGAAGACCTCCAACGGTACAGCTGGCTGACAGTGCAGAAAACTTACCGAGAACACGGGAGCACTTTATCTGCGCTCAAGCACAGTTGTTATCATCCCTTCCAGGCAAAAATACATTTTGATGTTGTTGTTGACAACCTCTGAGAGTTCACAAAAACTTCAGAAAGTCTGGAAGTTCTGGAAGACACTTTTCCACCCATCCAAGACTGAATTTGTCATGAGAAGCCTTCTCCTGTGGACATAAGAGCGGCCAGGCTGGGTCAGACCTAAGGTCTATCCAGTCCAGTGTCCTGTCTGCCCACAGTGGCCAATGCCACATGCCCCAAAGGGAGTGAACAGAACAGAAAATCAAGTGTTCCTTCTCCTGCCCTCCATTCCCAGCCTCTGACAAACAGAGTCCAGAGATACCATCCCTACCCATTTTGTCTAATAAGTATTGATGGACTGGACTGCCATGAATTTATCTAGTTCTTTTCTGAACCCTGTTCAAGTTCTGGCCTTCACAATATCCTCTGGCAAGGAGTTCCACAGGTTATGTTAGTTTCCTAGTACAGACATGACCCATTTCAGATTTACTAAATTTGATTGAATAACTCCTGATTTAACAAATTCTAAATCGTGTGGTCTCACTACGGGGAAACCTCAAAATTAGTCAGAGGCAGGCTACATTAATGTGGACATGCTACCTCAGACGTAGCCCCAGGAAGCACTGGGGGATCATTACTTTGAATGACTCTGGGGAGTGGTTATTTTGAAAGAGCAGCACTGGAGAGTCCACTCTACCGTTATTTTGAAATAACTATTTTGGGATTAGCGTTACTCCTGATGAAAAGCAGGAGTACGGATTTGGAATTAACAGGCTTGGGAGTGTGGACGCTCCACTTATACATTCAACCTAAGGGGGGTTAGTTCCAAATAAAGGCCTAGTGTGGACCAGGGCTTAAAGTCCTAGCCTTCACAACCTCCTCTGGCAAGGAGTTCCACAGGTTGACTGTGCACTGAGTGAAGAAATACTTCCTTCGATTTGTTTTAAACCTGCTGCCTATTAATTTCATTAGTTCTTTTGTGATGGGAAGGAGTAAATAACTCTTTATTCACTTCCTCCACACCAGCCAGTATTCAAGATGTAAACATGGCATGGATTGATATAGAGGCAATAAATTATTCTCTGTTTTATTCTCATTCTAGACCTTTCTTTGCTCACTGGAAGAGCCGAATTTTTGTTCCCTGGGTTGTTACTTACAGACTGTGAACAAGTCCCTTCTTAGCCATCTCTTGATTAAGCTAAACGGGTGGATCTCAAATTTCCCCTCCCCCCGGCGGACTACTTGAATCGCTGAGGGTCTCGGCAGACTATTTCATGATCTTTCCAGATCATATTCGTGCCATCAACTAACGATTGTAAAGGACTTTGGATCAACGAGTTTGATTTATATATAAATAAAAAGCCTTCATAATCATTCTCACCATAAAAATGTCTCATAATTTAATAGTGGTGGGGTCTTTTGCCCTGAGCAGCCACAGAGATAGGCTGTCTTTCCCTGGTAGATGCAGCCCTGGAGTAGGGGAAAGACACCTCTTTCTCCGGTCACTGCATATGCTGGAAACTTTGAGAGATAGGGGTGCAGCAAACCCCCCAAAACTCCCTGTACAGGACGTCTGACACAGACTAATAGTAGGCGAAGCATAACAGGCAGGGGGCAGGAAGTCGGCTTGCAGTGTTTGCTTCTTTTCTCTGCAACGTGAGAGGAATCGGCTCGTGGCTTGAATTTGGACACGGTGCAGGAACGTAAGTCTGCTTTGGGTTTTTTTCAAAAGTGAGTCCCTCATGCGTGAATTTCTGCAGCCCTCTTCTGCCTTTATTCTGGACTTGTGCGTAGAGTGCACTGTGCACCCAGCTCTGGCAGGGGAGTGAGACGGAATGGTTACAGCAGGGTGGGAGTTGGGAGCCAGGAATGCTCGGTTCTGCCCTCAGCACTCAGAGGACAGCAGGTCTAGTGGTTAGAGCAGGGGGGACTCAGCGTTAGGGTGCCGGGTTCTATCCTGGCAGGGAATTTAATTCACCTTTAAAAAAAAAAAATTGCCGTGGTCTCATCTGTAGCTCCGAGTCCTCCTCTAGTCCATATAAATGTGATAAGTCCCATCTGTGTAAAATGCTTACAGCTTTTGAGAGACTTGGGGACAAGTCTGGCGAGGAGTTCCACAGGTTGACTGCGTGCTGCATGTAGAAAAACTTCCTTTGGTTTGTTTTCAACCTGCTGCTTATTAACAACAGAATATTGTTAGACTTAGACTTAGAAAATTATGCCTAGCAAAAGTTGCAAACACTTTTCCAATTTGCATGTGACTTTCATGCTACTTTGTGTCTTACTCTGTGTGGATCCAGAGAAGAATGTGGAGGGAGATTGGGGGGGGAGAACCCCTCACCCCAACTGTGCGAAGCCCTCAGGGCATCTGTTCAGAAGAAATTAATGTTCTAATTGTTCTCCATTAACGTTTGGCATACAGGTGTCTAAACCACATACCTTAAAGTATGTTAGTTTTTGTAAAAGTTGATAGGGGAGTAGATGTAGCGTTTGCTTTCTACATTTTTCTATTTGCAGTTTATATTGTCCTGGGTGCTTTGCAGTTATGCAAATCAACCTGCTTAATTATGCACTGAAGTAAGAACTTAAAAACATAAGAAAAGCCAGACTGGGTCAGACCAAAGGTCCATGTAGCCCAGAGTCCTGTCTGCTGACAATGGCCAATGCCAGATACCCCAGAGGGAGGGAACACAACAGGTAATCCTTACATGATCCCTCCCGTTGTCCATATTCAGAGAAACAGCTGCTAGGGACCCCATTCCTACCTATCCTGGCTAATAAATATTGATGGTCCTCTCCTCCATGAATCTATCTAGTTCTTTCTTGAACCCTGTTCAAGTCCTGGTCTTCATGACATCCTTTGGCAAGGAGTTCCACAGGTTGACTGCATGCTGCATGTAGAAAAACTTCCTTTGGATTGTTTTCAACCTGCTGCCTATTAAGAACAGTCAAGAGTGATAAGTTGAGAGGCTGAAGAGTGAAATTTTTAGAGATTCAGGCTGGTCACTGCAGTCTCCTCTCTTTTAAAAAGTTTAGCCCCTCGTTTTTAAAAACCTCCATCTGTACATGGGTCATCTCCCCGCCGTTTAAAAGTCAGTAGGACTTCAGTGGACTTAACCGTTCTCTGAACGCCACGCAGCTACGGCTCTTTGCAGCCTGGGAGTATTTCAGAGAGAGAAACAGCGTAAGCGATAAATTCAAAGGGCTCTCTACGTAGCTTAAACACTGGGAAAGTTAAGGAATGATTTGATCACCGTCTGTAGGGGAAACAAATATTTAATAACAGGCTTTTTAGCAGACAAAGGTATAACACAAAGCGGAATTCTGGAGCGCGGGAAATGGAGACAGAAAAGAAGCTGTCCGTTTCTGACAAGGAGGTGAATTAAGCCCTGAAACAATCTAGGCTCTGTCCATTTTCCGATCAAAACGTTTTTCTAAAAACATCTGCCCAGGGAATTATCTGGAGGCATCTTCTCTGGCCTGCGTTCTACACAGATCACACAAATCACTCAAGCCACAGAACCTATGAAGATACAAGATCTTTTTTATCCGGACTTGGTCCTTTTAGATGGTTGCTTTGTCTTGGTTCCGTCGTGGAGTCCTACTGTAGCTGTGATGGGAATGGTAGTAGTGCGTTGTCTGGGATTTTTTGTTATGTCTGAAGTCCTCTTATGAACAGAGGCCACTGTTCACCCGTGCCATGAACTATGCACCTAAATTCATATGTATGCTTTAATCCCGCTCAGTTCAATGCAAGATAAACACCATCCTAAATATTTTGCCAAGTCGTGAGAGAAGTCTGGGATAACTATTCTGAAAGCTCAGTTCATTTTCTCAGGCTGTCTCTACCCTTTTTGTTTCTTCTCTATAAATAGGGTTTTTTATGGTGAGTTTTTAATAAATAGATTTTCTTTTCTGGAAATCACAGAAACCATAAAAACGTGGGGCAGAAAGAGACGGTAAGAGGTCATCTGTTCTGTTCCTGCAGCGCTAGGCCTACACAGAACATCCTTTACAAGAATTTATTGAATCTTTTCTTTAAAAACCTCCTGAGACAGAGCTCTCCTGTCCTCGTATAGCGGTCCAGAGCTTAGAGTTGTGGAAGAAAACAAGCCTTCACTTTGCACACAAATTCCCTTTTCCTGCCTCCACACTGTTCAGGTGAAATTCATCAGCCTCTGCCGACTTGAACAGCTGTAATTTGTCCTTCACAATCTCCTCTGGCGAGGAGTTCCACAGGTTGACTGTGTGCTGCATGTAGAAAAACTTCCTTTGGTTTGTTTTCAACCTGCTGCTTATTAACAACAGTCCAGAGTGAAAAGTTCAGAGAGGCTGAAGAGTGAAATTTTCTGAGTTTTGGGCAGTTCACTACAGTCGCCTCTTTTTTTCAAAAATCTTCAGTTCATCTGTGCATGAGTCGGTAGCATGTTCTTCTCCCAATTTTGAGGCTAAGAACCTTCCATCTTGTTAATATTAATGGTGTTACGCCGAGGTCATCACCTAATTAGTGAAGCAGAAAAGACCTTAAACACCTCAGCCTTTTTGGTATCATCTGTTATTTGCTCTCTTTCACCGTTAAGCGGAGGCCTTACGGGTACCTTCGTCTTTCCCCTTACAGTTCATGTTGTTTTTTTTTAATCGTGTATTATGTCTATCTCCTTCGCCTTTTTTATTTTGTCCCTGTCGGTTTTTGCTTTTCTGGAAATTGGCGATTTGCAAGTGATTTGTACAGAAAACAGGGTTATAGCTACTTAATACAAGTGGCGCTGTTATGCATAGTCTTGGAAGGGTTACAGGTTTGTTTATTTCTTTGTTTTTAACAGGAAATTTGAGTTCACTCTCTCTGCTGAAACTGATCCTTTCGCCTGCCTGCTGATTCTCTCTCTTTTCTGTCTGGTTTTCTGAGCACCAGTCCCATTCCAGACACATCCCACTGTCCTGGTGCAACCAAACCCAGACCTGGCTGTAAGTTAGGAGAAGAGCGAGTTATCTGCTGAATTTGGTGTGCCTAGCTCCGACTGTTTAGGAGGAGTTCTTGAACGTACAGAGAGACAGACACACAGGGAAACTCGCAAATATATAGCACGTTTTCTGCCACTCCATTCTCTGACCTCATTTTCTGCTTCTGTGAAACACGAATGGAACCATAAAAAAATGCTTAAAATCAACATTCTCTGTAAAATGTTGATCATACAAATGAAAATTGAAGTTTGCCCTGGTGTGTGGTTTCCCACCCAATCCTGTGGCAACAGAAAAGCAACTATCTTCTCAGGAAATAGCACCTGTGGCCTCTCTGGTTATCGATAAACTGCTCAGAGCAGACAACAGCAAAATAGAGATAAACGCTTCCTCTCCCTTGATGTTATCAGTTATTAGGTCTCCTTCCCATTAAGGAAAGCCTCTACACTTCCCCTACCCCCGCCTCGTAAAATATCTAAAGGTGTTACAAGGAGGGAAAAAATTGTTCTCCTTGGCCTCTGAGGACAGAACAAGAAGCAAGGGGCTTAAACTGCAGCAAGGGAGGTTTAGGTTGGACATTAGGAAAAAGTTCCCACCTGTCAGGGGGGTCAAACACTGGAATAAATTGCCCAGGGAGGTTGTGGAATCCCCATCTCTGGAGATATTGAAGACCCCAATTCGACAGAAACCTGCCAGGGATGGTCTACATCAGTATTTTTTAAAAAAGTTGAGGAACAAAGTACCCTGTTTAAAAAAAAAAAAAAAAAAAGTATCCCCAGTACCTACAGTTTTCAGACACACCATTTTTTCCCTACCATTGCAACACAGTTGTTTAAACAACTCAATCAAAGCCAGGCAGGCAATGAAATTTTAGGGGGGGTAAAAGGTACAAAAATAAAGCGCTAGAAAGCTTACAACAAAAACTGAGCGTGTTCCACATTGCAGTGGTGTTGACGTACCCCCTGGACTTCTCTCGGACCGCTGGTCGAGAAACACTGCGCTAGACGGTGGTTGGAGCAGGGTACAGGACACGGGGACCTCGCGAGATCCCTTCCGGTTCTATGATTCCGTGATTAAAATAACGGATGGAAAGTTTTCCCCATGCTGTGGATTATGTGAATCTTTGATCAGTCTAATCTGGCCCCAGTCCCCAATTAAATTGGATAAGAGGGTTCAGCTGTAGAGTCCCAGCAGAATTTTTTCTGGCCCAGGACAAATTGGTAACATAGGTCCCTATAGACCACAATTTGCAGCCTGGGCCCCAGGTAAAGTTTACCCTCCTGCCCCATGGGGGGGACCCGGTTCTGTTGTACCGTGTGCTGTTTCCTTCCCGGCTGTGTCTACACTGGGCCACTTATTCCGGAAAATCAGCCGCTTTTCCAGAATAAGCTGCGAGCTGTCTACACTGGCCCTTGAATTTCCGGAAAAGCAATGACGTTGAACTGTACAAAATCAGCCGCTATTCCGAAAAACCTATTCTGCTCCCGCTCGGGCATAAGTCCTTATTCTGGAACACTGTTCTGGAAAAGGGCCAGTGTAGACAGCCCAGTAGTCTTTTCCGGAAAAGCGCGTCTACATTGGCCACGGACGCTTTTCCGGAAAAAGGGCTTTTCTGGAAAAGCAGCCTGCCAGTGTAGAGGCTCTTTTTCCGGAAATACTTATAACAAAAACTATTCTGTTTTAAGCATTTCCGGAAATTCATACCAGTGTAGACACAGCCCCTGTTTGACTTCAAGGCACGGCAGAGAAATCTCCTAAGGGAATTTGATTTGTCCTTTTCATGTGTGTTCATTTTTTTAATTGTATCCTTTGGTATACAGGCAGTCCCCGGGTTACGTACAAGATAAGGACTGTAGGTTTGTTCTTAAGTTGAATTTGTATGTAAGTCGGAACTGGTACATATTGTAGGGGAAACTCTAGCCAAACATTTCTCCAGAGCTCAGTTTTATTCTCCCACACCTCACTTCCCTCAGTCCTTTATTCTCAAGCTGGGGTGTCTGCTGAGAAAAGCTGCTCCGCGTCTCCCTGGTCTGCTGGGGGGGGGGCGCTAGCTTCGTGTCTCCCTGGTCTGCTGGGGGGGGGGCGCTAGCTTCGTGTCTCCCTGGTCTGCTGGGGGGGGGGCGCTAGCTTCGTGTCTCCCTGGTCTGCTGGGGGGAAGCAGCTAGTGTGGGGTTGCCTCACCCTGTTTGTAAGTAGGGATCCGATGTAAGTCGGATCCATGTAACCCGGGGACTGCCTGTATATGGCTGTGACAATTTTCTTCCACAAATTGATCTGAGGAAGTGGGTCTGGCCCACGAAAGCTCATCCCCTAATAAATCATCGTGTTAGTCTTTAAAGTGCTACCTAGTCCTGTTTTTTGTTTCAAGGGAGTTCCAGGTTCCCTTGTGCCCAGGAAAGCAGTCCTATGCTGGTTTTGGCTCCACCTCGCTGTAGCGATTTACACGTAGCTGACTGGGTGGGTTTGCACTTCGGGGAAATGGCCCGGAGAGATGAGTGATTAGGAAGACAGATCGCTTACGGACAGTTTGACTCAAAATAGGGTTCAAGCGCCCTTCCTGACAGGGTGTTCAGCCCTGTGAATGGGAGTGTTTTACAGGCTCGTGAAATCTGACCGCCCAAACTCCAGCCGCCGGTCACAGCTTTAGGATTGCCTCTCTCCTGGGGGAATTCTCCGTCATGGCTCTGAACTCCTCTAAACTAGACTTGCGTGGGATTTGAGGGGTACGTATGCCCTGCCCTGGGTGTAAAATCCACCAGCGCCATGCCTCCGAAAGTATTAAACCTGACTGGGGAAATACAAGAATGGATGTTTGTAAAGGGTTCGTGTTAGTGTAAGATTTTTGGAGCAGTGCTACTGCTACAGGGGCGGTGACAGCGGAGTCGGGGTTCCCCTGATCCTACACACCTATAGCAGCCAGAACAGTCATCACCAGCCAGCAGAATAGAGAGGGGTTTTACTGAGCTTTCAGAATACAGCCCAGCATTAATGTGGTGTGTTTACAGGATTTGGGGCCAGGGTGTTTCAGACCCCTTGGGTTAGGCTCCATTACCCCTCGCCCTCAGCCCCAGCAACCTCAGTCTGTCTCCCTCATGGTTCCAGGCCCAGACTGTAAAAGTTCTTCTTCACACAGCACACAGTCAACCTGTGGAACTCCTTGCCAGAGGAAGCTGTGAAGGCTGGGACTATAACAGAGTTTAAAGAGAAGCTGGATAATTTCATGGAGGTTAGGTCCATAAAAGGCTATTAGCCAGGGGATAAAATGGTGTCCTTGGCCTCTGTTTGTCAGAGGCTGGAGAGGGATGGCAGGAGACAAATCACTTGATCATTGTCTTCAGTCCACCCTCTCTGGGGCACCTGGTGCTGGCCACTGTCGGCAGACAGGATACTGGGCTAGATGGACCTTTGGTCTGACCCAGTACGACCGTTCTTATGTTCCTATGAGCCATTAAAAAAGAGCTGGAGGATAAGACAGAAAAGATCTTTTTGCTTCTACGTAAAACCACAGGGCACCCACAGCTGGAATCCTGCCTCCTCATCTCAAAAATGGGTCAGAAAAGGGCAACCGAAATGATGAGGGGGTTGGAACGGGTCCCAGATGAAAAAGCCTGGAACTTTTCAGCGTAGGAAAGAGGAGACTAAGGGCGATAGGCTGGGTGGAGAAAGTGAATCAGGGAACGTTATTTACTTAGTCCCAAGTAAATGTATGTGAGGACCTTGGGAACTAAGAAACCGTCTGTTCTCCCTGCTGCCTGAGAGTCACATCTGGCGGTGGGTAGAGGTGTGGGGCCCAGAGGCTGTCGGGAGGCTGGGGAAGAGAGGGGGAAGGCAGTTTTGGGAAGGCTACACCTTCCCTTACCTACCTTACCCGCCACCCGTGCCTGACTTCTGAACCCCCAACCCTGGAGGTACCTTACTGGTGTGTGGGGAGGGAAAACCATGTGTGTTTATGGCACGTCTGGAGAATTGCAGCCAGTTCTGGGCCCCCCGCTGCAGAAAGGCTGTGGACGCACTGGAGAGGGTCGACCAAAAGGATTCGGGGGCAGGAGCACGTGACCCGCGAGGAGAGGCTGAGCCATCGGGACTTGTTTTGTCTGCAGAAGAGAAGAGCGAGGGGGGATTTGGGAGCAGCCTGCAACTCCCTGCAGGGGGGCTCCAAAGAGGATGCAGAGAGGCTGTTCTCAGTGGCGGCAGGTGGCAGACCGAGGAGCAATAGGCTCACGTTGCAGGGGGGAGGTCTAGGTTGGATATTAGGAAAAAATATTTCCCTAGGAGAGCTGGGAAGCGCTGGGTTGGGTTCCCGAGGGAGCGGGTGGACTCTCCATCCTTAGAGCTGTTTCAGTCCCGGCCCGGCGGGGCTGATCGAGTTGGGATTGGTCCTGCTTTGAGTAGGGGGCTGGACTTGATGGCTCCTGCGGTCTCTTTCAAGCCAGGGTGTTTTATGAGTCTGTTCCTGGCCAGGACTTTCCAGTAGAAACCAGTCCGGAAAATCCAGTGCGGTGATACATTTGCATGTGGGCAGTATTGGGGATTTTTGTGTTTCTTTGGCCAGGTCGTGCTGACAAGGAAACGCTTTGCACTGAGCCAAGGCCGATGCTGAATGTAGGAAACAAATCAGAAGCCATTACCCCCGACTGTACGCACACGACAATTGCTTTGCACTGAGCCAAGGCCAATGCTGAACGTAGGAAACAAACCAGAAGCCATTACCCCCGACTGTACGCACACGACAATGGGGTGCGAGTTAGCCTTTCTCAAGAGAGAGAGATCTTGGAGTCACTGTGAAGAGTTCTCTGAAAACATCTACTCCATATGCAGTGGCTGACTTAAAGCTAACACAGAGGCGACGTCTACACTGCGGCTTTTGCTGCGAGAGCCTATGCAAATGAAGCATGGATTAGCATATCGTTGTGCTTCATTTGCATAATTTACTTGGCGCCGTTTTTTGCGCACAGGGTTTTTACGCAAAAACAAGCTATGTGGACTTTTTTCTTTTTGTGCAAAAACACCTTTTCCCACTAGATTGGTATAGGGACATAAGCAGGGTTTGACAAAGAGCAGTGAAATCTACTCGCCAGCCCTGCACTGCGCATGCACAAGACCCGCATTGCGCATGTGCGCGCCGCCGGTGAACAGGGCGACCGGCTGAAATCTACTCAGCGATTTGTCGAGCCCTGGGCATAAGGATCTTGCGGGAAAAGGGGGTTTTGTGCAAAAAGAAAACAGCCACATGGCTTGTTTTTGCGCAAAACCTACTCAGAATAAATTATGCAAATGAAGGGCAACAATATGCTAATCTGTGCTTCATTTGCATAGGCGCTCGCATCAAAAGCTGCAGTGTAAACGTAGCCTGGGAATCAGTAAGAAAGGGACAGAGAATAAGATGGAAAATAGCTAATTGCCCCCGAATAAAACCATGGGATGTCCACAGCTTGAACCCTCTGTACACAGGTGGTCGCCTCTCCTCCCAAAAGTTCTCTTGGCAGTGGAAAACGTTCAGAAAAGGGCAACCGAAATGATGCGAGGCCTGGAACAACTGCCTCACAAGGAGACATTAAAAAGAGGGGGAATTTTTCAGCTTAGAGAAGAGGTGACTAAGAGGAAGGTCTGACACAGACCTGTCAGATCATGAATTAGGGGGAGAAAAGGATTTTTACGCTTTCCCACTCTACAAGAAGCCGAGGTCTTGATGCAAACTGAACAGGCAGCAGGCTGAAAAGAAACACCAGGGCGTAGTCTGTGGAAGTTGTTAGCGGGAGTGTTGCGAAGGCCAAAAGTATGATGAACAGACCAAAGATCCAGCAAGCGCAGTGTCCTGTCTGCTGGCAGTGACCAGAGGGAGTGAACACAACGGGGAATCATCACGATCCTCCGCTGTCTCCCATTCGCAGCTTCTGACAGAGACTAGTGACACCATCCCGGCTTATAAGTATTAGTGGACCTAACCTCCATGAATGTATCTAGTTCTTTTTTGAGCCCGGTTAAAGTCCTGGCCTTCACCACATCCTCTGGCGAGGAGTTCCACAGGTTGGCTGTGTGCTGCAAGAAAAAAAAAATTCCTTTTGTTTATTTTAAACCTGCTGCCTATTTATTCCATTGGGTGACTCCCTTGTTCTGGACCGGGGTTCAAAAAAGAACTGGAGAAGTTCCCAGAGGAGAGGTCCATCAAGGGCTATTAGCCAGGATTACCTGGTCTCCATGCTCTACTTGTTCCTAAATCACTGATTGTTAGGAGCTGGGACCAGGTGACAGAGGATGCCCTGTTCCGTTCATTCCCTCTGATGCGTCTGGCACCGTCAGGAGAGTCTAACAAAAAGAGCAGGCAGCATGTGTTTCTACCGGTGATGCACATGCCTTGGTGCACAGAAAAAAATTATTCCACACATGGGTGGAAAAGATCAGAGGGAACATGGCAGGTGGGGTTTTCCCAAGCCAGGAAGTTGGCTTTCCGTGGAAGTTGGGTATCTAACTCCCCCTCTTCTTTCTCTCCTAGGTGAATCTTCGCTCATGTTTGGGGCCCTGGATAACGCTTATTTATCTGATTCTTTCAGATCATTTGCTCCCTTGCTTCAGGGCCAGAGACAGCAGCTGTGAGAAGAGGAGGATGGAGGGGCCGTCCCTTGTCAGCAGACCTTGCTATCTGGAACCGCTCACCGTAGAAAACCTTCTCCGAATGCGGTGCAAGCTGGAGTCCGAGGGCCAGATGACCCGGGAGCGGAAGGCCCGCTTTAACGGGGTGCTGAGAACGGTCAAAGAATCCGAGCTGGTGCAGAGCAACGCGAGGACGGTGATCGAGTGTGACGGGGGAGACCTGGAATATCTCTGCAGCGACGGAGGAGAAACCGTCTTCGTCCTGTGCCAAGGCGGAGAACCCCTGTATATCGGGAAGAAAAGGGACAGTGATTCGTACCCTTCGCCGCCGCTCCCCGAGGCAGAACGGCTGAGTATCAGACACCTCCTGGGGGCGATGAGCAGGCTGGAAACCCAGCACCGCATGACGGAGGAGCTGAGAACTTGCTTTGAATGTGCCCTGGAGAACTTCCGCAAAGAACCCAATTTTGTCCAAGAGAACGCCCGGTTGGTGATCAGCTGCGAGGGAAAGGAGCGGCATTTTGCATCTGGGAACGGGGAGAACGAATTCGTGGTGTACCTGCAGGATGGCAAACCCCGGTACGAGAGCCAGGTGCTGGGATGGGGAGCCTACCTTTTTAAAATGCTGGCCAGGTTGTTTTAAAGTTTGCAGGGTGGACCGGATTTTAACTAGAAGACAGCTGGGAAGAAAACAAACCAACAAAAAAGAAGCACTAACCCAAATCAGCCAACGAACCAGCTCAACCAAACCAAAGTCAACCAACTCAACCTCTCTTATTCTATGAAGACAGATTAAAAAGACTAGGAGCTTTCATCTTAGAAAAGAGAAGATTATGGGGGCGATAGGTTAGAGGTCTATAAAGTAATGACTGGTGTGGAAAAAATGAATAATGAAGTTATTTGCTCATGCCCATAATATAAGAACTAGGGGTCACCAAATGAAATCAATAGGCAGCAGGTTTTACACAAACAAAAGGAAGTTTTTCTTCACTGAGCACACAGTCAACCTGTGGAACTCCTTGCCAGAGGATGTGGTAAAGACTAGGACTTTAATAGGGTTCAATATACAGCTAGGGTGTGTCTAAACCACACGGCTCCGTCGACGGAGCCATGTAGATGAGGCTGATCGGCAGAGGGAAATGAAGCCACGATTTAAATAATCACGGCTTCATTTAAATGTAAATGGCTGCAGCGCTCTGCCGACCAGCTGTTTGTCGGCAGATTGAGGCAGTCTGGACGCTCCTGTGCTGACCTGAAAGCCCTTTGTTGACCTCCCCCTTATGCCTCGCAGGATGAGGTTTACCAGGGAGGTTGACAAAAGGCTTTCAAATTGGCGCGGGAGCGTCCAGCCTGCCCCGATCTGCCGACAAACAGCTGATCATCAGCTGGTTGGCAGAGCGTGGCAGCCATTTAAATTTAAATGAAGCCGCAATTATTTAAATCGCCGCTTCATTTCCCTCTGCCGTGTAAACTAATCTACATGGCTCTGTCGACGGAGCCATGTTGTTTAGACGTCCCCCTAGATTGCTTCGTGGAGGTTAGGTCCATCAGTGGCTATTAGCTAGGATGAGTAGGAATGGTGTCTCCCGCCTCTGTTTCTCTGCAGGTGGGTGACAGGGGAGAGAGAACATGAGGATTAAGTGTTGTGTTCCTTCCCTCTGGGGCATCTGGTATTGGCCTGTTTTGGCAGACAGGATAACGGGCTGCATAGACCATTGGTCCGGACCAGTATGGCCATTCTTATCAATCCGAGCTGGCGAAGAACGGATTTTTCACGTTCCTGGCCGTGTCAAAAAGCGACACCAAAGAAAAGTGTTTTGGGCCAAGCCAAGCACAGTGGACCCGAATCGAGCTGTGACCGAGCCTCTTTACGTTGTAGATTCACAAGACGCCTGACGGACAGAGGAAATCTCTTTTAGGAGCCCACTGAGAAGGGAGAGCGATATCTGGTTTTCAATCTTCGCTTACGAGCCAGTTGGCTTCTCGTGTCCAGTGGCCGAGGGCCAGAGAAGCAATTTTCACGCCGCCCTAGCAGTCATGATACTCATAAGTAAATAAAGTGGGTTTGGGATGCGTTCCAGAGCATCCGGCGGTCTGGATTTGGGCTGCCGTCCCCCCGTACGGTGTGTGGGAGAGTTGTGGGAGGTAAGAGAAGGTGCCATGATGTAATCTACTGGGTCAGGATAGTCCAGATGCCATGGAAACCGAATAAGGCCACAGGGAATCCAGCTGCCATGGAAACCGGGCCTAAAAGAAACAAAGCGCCATGGAAACTCGGCCTGAGAGAAACCTAGTTGTCATGGACACCAGGCCTCTGAGAAACCCAGCACCATGGAAACCAAGTTGTTCAGGAACCAGGCTTCTATGACAACGAGAACGTCCAGGGAAACACAGTCACACAGAGAAGCCGGGTGCCATGGAAACCAGACTTCCAGGAAACCGGCTGTGTGGAAACCAGGCCTCAGAAACTCAGTTTCAGGGACAAGCAGGAAATTGGGAGCCATGGATACCTGTTGTGCTTAAAAGAAACACCCGGGATATTTTCCAGGAGGAGAAGACAACATGCCACATGTATTGAACATACATAAATCAATCAATACTTTATCATATGCATCTGATACATTACACTCACCACACACACACACACACACACACACACACACACACACACACACACACACACACACACACACTCTCTCTCCGTCTTGTTGTTCCCAATAGTTGCTTCCTCTAACTGCACTGGCCAAGTGAGTTATCTGGGAGAGGGATGGAGCCGGGTGTCTCCCAATCTGGATTGATGCTGCCATGTGGACAAGACAAAAAAACCCGGGATCCCTCTGCAAGATGCCTCCTATTTATCCCTCTCATGCAGCCAGTTAGTCAACACCTCACCTTTGTAATACTTCAAAGAGAGCTCTTCCAAGGGCAGGCACTTGCTGCTTTACTCCCGAGGCGTCTGTCTGTCCAGTCTTCTTTTCAATGAGCTCACGTCACAGGGATTGTCTCGGATTTGGCTCCCAGCCCCTCTCCACCCTTGCAACCGCTGTGGGAGCTGTTCACCTTTCAGTCTCCGTCCACACCTCGTCCGTTTCAACAGGGCCCTCAGGGAAAGGGGAGAGATCTCAAAAGACATTTTTCTTTCCCTTAACTATTCCTAAGGCCTATAACATAAAGGGCTTAATATAAGTTATATGAGAATGATACATGGTTACATGGAACTGTTACAGAGATTCATAGATTTATCCACACACCAAGCCATGGGGCAGCCAAGCAATACAGAAACCAGGCACCAGGGAATTTGGGTACCATAGAAACCCCGGCATCAGGGAATCTGGGTACCATAGAAACCCCAGCATCAGGGAATCTGGGTACCATAGAAACCAGGCATCAGGGAATCTGGGTACCACAGAAACCCAGCATCAGGGAATCTGGGTACCACAGAAACCCAGCATCAGGGATGCTGGGTACCATAGGAATCAGGCATCAGGGAATTTGTGTACCATATTGTCATGACCATGAGGGATGGCCAGCAGCCTGGACACTAAGGGGTTAACTATGTCCCTTACCTAAGCCAGGTAAAATCAGCCAATAAAAATGCAGATAGGGATTTCAAACTGGGACAAAGGGAATTTTGTGTTTTTCCCTCCTTTGTCCCTGGGCAGTGTCTCTCCAGCGACTTAGGGGGACAGACACTATGTCTCCCTCCAAGGCTGTGTCTAGACTACACCTCCCAACAGAGAGATGTACATTAGGCAAGTTGAAATTGCTAATAAAGCAGGTATTTAAATATTGATTCATTAGCATAAACACGGCCACCTCATCTTTTGAGGAATACAGGACTTTTTTGACAAAGGGTTTATTTTTTTGAAAGATCCCTGTCTAGACTGCCATTTTTTTTTCGAAAAAACGTTGTTTTGAAAAAAAGTGGCGGTCATGTTTATGCTAACTTCATTAGCAATTTCAACGTGCCTAATCTACATCTCTCTGTCGACAGAGAGGTGTAATCTAGACACAGCCCAAGAAAAGACTCTTCACTAGCTTTAAGTAGGGTAAAGTTTAGATACATCCGATAGATTTTATTGTTTTATGGTTTGGGAAATGGGAATCTGACGTCTGTTCATTTAAAAATGGGTTTTCCTCTCCTTTTTTAAGATTTTGGGGGGAAGCTTTATACCAAAGCCTGGAGAGAGAAGGTTTTAGGGTACTTTTGTGGGCCCCCACTTCTGCATTTATCGGCCAGAGTGGGGAAAAAGCCATGACATGGTGGCAGCGGTGGGATCATTTTGAGACCCCAGGATTTTAAAAGGACACAAGTTTTTCTTTTGAGTTGCAAGCTTTGCTGTTTTTTTCTCTTGTTTTTTTTTCTTTTGTTTTCTGTGCTGCCTGGGGGAGAGGCAGACAGAAGGTTAACCTTAAACCAGACACAGGCCATCCTACCCAACCAGTCTGTGGTGTTCTAGCTTTCGGGACAACTGGATAGCTAGGCTAGAATAGGGCAGGGAAGGAGCTCAGTACATGCTTTTGTGATGGGGCAAAGTAGCCCTAGAGAATCCAACTTTTCCTAAGCAACACCCTGAGGTAGAGAGAGCCTCCGTGCAAGGCAAGGTGTCAAGCTCCAGGGAAGATTCACACCCTGGAGAGGGGAAACAGGAGCATGTCCCTATGAGTCCAGGGGGAAGTAAATTTGAGGGGGCAGGAGCAGCCGGCAGCTGCCCTACGTCCCCCACCCCACCGCCTTCTATGTGAGATTATGCCTTAAAGGCAAGCAGACCTCTAAGTGAGAAAGATGGAGTTTCTCCTACACATGGAGCGTGCACAGCGAGAGGCCGAAGAGAAGCATGACCAACGAGAGAGGCAGCTGGCAGAGACGAGGCGAGCAGAACTAGAGGCCAGGAGAACTTGCAGGATGCGCATCAATTCTCCAAAGCCCTTTTATTCCCGAGAACTCAAGGTTCTTCACTTCACAGCCCAGGAGAAGGAGGAGGCAGAGTGGCCCGAGGCAGCCTGCTACAACGGGAAAGGCAAGGGCGGAGTAGAAGAGGTAAGCCTCTCCCTGAACCTCAGCCACGAGCCGCGCTGACAGATCGTGCAACTGTGCACCCAGTTCACCCCCAATGTTCTCAGCTACCATGGGACAGACCGACCGAGTGTCTCACTCCATTGACACAGGTGATGCTCACCCAGTCACAGCCCAACTATACCGAATGGATCCTCCAGCCAAAGCAGCTACGGAGAGGGAAATCAAGGACATGTTAGAGAGATGGGCATAATTCACCCTTTGGAGAGCGCATGGACTTCTGCAGTGGTCCTAGTTCCCAAGCTGGATGGGGAAATCCGTTTTTGCGTGGACTACCGTAAGCTAAATGCTGTAACTCACCCCGAGAACTACCCCATGCCACACACAGATGAGCTATTGGAGAAACTGGTTCATGCCCAGTTCATCTCCACCCTAGACTTAACCAAGGGCTACTGGCAGGTACCTCTGGAGGAAGCAGCGAAGGAAAAATCAGCCTTCATTGCACACATTGGCCTATATGAGTTTAATGTTCTTCCTTTTGGACTGCGCGACGCACCTGCCGCCTTCCAAAGGCTCATGGATCCTCTATTTGCCGGATTGGGAGAATTTGCAGAGGCCTATCTAGACAATGTGGCCGTATTCTCTGATTCGTGAACAGAGTGCCTAGAACACCTCCAAGCTGTCTTCCAACGCGTAAGGAAGGCAAGGCTAACAGTTAAAGCAAAAAAAAAGGTCAAATTGGCTTGAACAAGGTGATTTACCTTGGACACCAAGTCGGTCAAGGAACTATCAACCCTCTACAGGCAAGGTAGAGGCTATAATAAACT